GTGTGTGTGAGTGTGTGTGTGTGTGTGTGTGTGTGTGTGTGTGTGAGTGTGTGTGTGCGCGCGTGTGTTTGTGTGCGTATGAGTGAGTGAGTGAGTGAGTGAGTGTGTGTGTGTGTGTTGCATGAAATCACCTTCTTGATGTTGCTCTCTGGGTTGAATCCACATTCAAACCCGCGCGGGGACACCGAAGTATGAAAGCCCTGCGGTTTAATAGATCATGAATGAATTAAAGGTTACGCAGATGTGCGGAGAATACAGTATAGCGTGTTTCAGTGAGGTTCTGGTCATTCACCATGGCATTTTCTCCCCAGTCGGTCAGGCTGTAGTCCACTGTGATCTCCTCTCCTTTGGCAATGTCTCGAATGGCTATGACGACGAGCCGGACCTGACTCCCACAATGCACCTCTCTAATCCTGCAGTTGGGCGCTGGGTGGAACAGCACAGGGCCGCGGACGCCGCTAGCGCCCTCTTCAGCCAGCTCTGGCACACTGCAGGACACACAAACACACGGCACATTCAGAGTCAACACGGCTGAGCACTGTGGAAGCTCATTGCCACCAACCAATAAAAAGTGAATGAGAGCAGGTCTTGTACCAGAGCTGTGCCGGGTCGGTGAGGAAGAACGGGCTGCTCGGCGCAGGTATCCGGTCTTCAGCTCCCTCTGTGTACTGCTCATCCCCTACACACACACAGAACACACACACACACACACACACACACACACACACACACAAACAAACAAATCAATAACATTCTAAATATGGAGGAAAAAACAGCTAAATGTTATTCAGAGGCTCATGCTGATTTTTATATGATGAGATTCTGATGCTTGTGCTGTAAATGATCTAAATATCGTCTCTATATCTGCAGTAATCTGTCTCAGTAAGAAGAGTCTGAAATGCTCCAAACATATAACGCAGTGATTGAGAGCTGAAGAAATAAAGGCTCCTCAGAAGACGTGAGATGTTCTGGAGGCTTGTGAAGATCATTCCTCCGCTGAGGAACAGTGAAAGTAAAGCTTCTGGAAACAAACGCTCCTCAAAAGATCCTGAGGATCAGATTTGAGACTCTAAAACATGATTGATGGAGAATCAAGTAAAGCTGAGCTGCTTCAGTCCAGTAAGTGTTCATCTGGAGATATTACTGCAGTTATTCTGACCTTTACTTGATCAAAATCAGTCAAGATTTGACACGAGAAGCTCGAGCTGAAGCTGGACGTTTGTACAGTTACACTAAAAGAGCTTTGACTGCAACTCTAAACTATCAATCAGAGACAGAAGACATGAGGAGATTGTGTGTAAAACAGGTTTAACAGCTAATAGAATTATTTGGATTCTCTCATCACAAACAAAAACATACATTCACTCAACTGAACCTACAACAATCTCTGCTGGACTGGCTCGTGTAAAAACGCTCATGTGTATTTTGTGAATACTGTGTGCACCATACCAGAGATGACTTCTCTTTTATAATGTAAGTATTATTATATTATATTATATTATATTATATTATATTATATTATATTATCAAAAGCACTTCCCTATCAGAACTATAATTTCATCTGTATTAGTAAATATGTCATTACTGACATCCCTGTTCATCCAGTAGGTGGCGTAATACACTGCCAAATGTCTTGAATGTGTCTCTCACATGATCACTGACTGCAGATCAGCATGTCTTGTGTGATTTGTTTCTCATTCTCAGCTGATTGTGTGTGAAAATCTCCTGTGCTTTATTTCTGGATCTCCAAACACCAAACTGAGCCTCACCTTCATCACACTCAGAGCCTGAGATGAGACGAGGCCGTAGATCATTCATTAACAAGTGTTCAGTTCCAGATCATCCAGTTTGCTGAGATTAAATGAGTCACATGAGATCCAGAGAATAAATAAAAATACATGCAGATTTCAAGTCAAGTTTATAAATGTGATGTTATGTTGGTTGATGTGGTTGTGTGTGTGATTCAGGCTCATGTAGGATGAGTGTCAATGGTCTATTCGGGAGAAAGGTGGCAGTGATGCACTTTTTGTTTGCGAGCTGCCGTAAAAGAAGAAGAAGAAGTCAAGTTCATCATCATGATTCCAGCCATATTCAAAGAGGCCTGTAACTCACAGACGGGACAGGCCTCCCTTTACAAACCTGGAGTCTGAAGTGATCATGTGCTATGATACACACACACACACATGGGTGAAAACACAACTCATTCATTTGTGACTGAACGTCACATCTCTGTTCACATGCACACAAATAATCCATTACTCAGATTGATGGCGCAATCGGATTGAAAAGCCTTCATGTAAACTCCTTGATCGATCCGATTGAACTCGATCCGGGTTAAACATTGACTTACTGACACACTGAGCATGCGCTTACCTTTTGTTCGAAATACATAAATATAATAAAAAATAGCATGTAAACAGCTATGTTTCCAGCCACATATTTTTGTGCATTGCATTCAAATGAAAAGCTGCTTGGAAACGCCAAGATGCGCATCAATTCTAAAAATGCTCATAAATAACTTAACATAAATAACCTCCGGAGTGAGAGCTTCGAAGGGTTGAAGGGTGTAGGGGACCAAACAACTGTTTCTTGAAGTGCCCTTCTGCATCATCATCACGTGCCCACACAGAGGCGCCGTCATCATGCAAAGAATCTGCGCAAAGGATCATGGGAGCCCGAAGTGTCCATCAGTTGTACCCTTCGAAATCCTTCATTCCGAAGGGCCCTTTGAAGTGGCCAGTTTTGAGCACTTCGTTTTGGAACGACCCTTCAATATGGCAGCCATGATTGTTTTCATTCTGAAGTGCTCTTTCGGAGGGCGATATATCCCGTTGGAACGCACCGTATTTTTTCCATTTGATAATAAGACATGCAAATAAACTACAATGTACTACCGAATAAATTCCTCAAAGCGCATCAAAAAACTCATGTGACTTCTTCAGCAGATGATGTGATTGGATAATTGAACTAACCAACACACCGATCTCATCGCACACCATCTCAAAAATGTATTTAAATAATACTGAAATGCCTGTGTCAATGTCCAGATTAGATTTATTTGGATTGACAAAAATGAAGGCATTCAAACACGTAAATCCTTGAATCTGACTATTTCCATCTCATGTCTTACGAACTGTTGTATACTGAATATTTACTAAATATTTGCTAAAAATGCTCTGACATAGATGTCAGCTTTCTCTTGAGGTATGATTTAGAATGGCACAATACTTGCAGTAGCTCCGGTGGCATTACTGCGGTAGAATCTCTGGTTCTGAACACGACGACTGATTGTGATGCACAGAGCATATAGCATTTTTTTTAGTGGCGTTCTGATCGCTTACCATGGCATTTTCTCCCCAGTCGGTCAGGCTGTAGTCCACTGTGATCTCCTCTCCTTTGGCAATGTCTCGAATGGCTATGACGACGAGCCGGACCTGACTCCCACAATGCACCTCTCTAATCCTGCAGTTGGGCGCTGGGTGGAACAGCACAGGGCCGCGGACGCCGCTAGCGCCCTCTTCAGCCAGCTCTGGCACACTGCAGGACACACAAACACACGGCACATTCAGAGTCAACACGGCTGAGCACTGTGGAAGCTCATTGCCACCAACCAATAAAAAGTGAATGAGAGCAGGTCTTGTACCAGAGCTGTGCCGGGTCGGTGAGGAAGAACGGGCTGCTCGGCGCAGGGATCCGGTCTTCAGCTCCCTCTGTGTACTGCTCATCCCCTACACACACACACACACACACACACACACACACACACACACACACAAACAAACAAATCAATAACATTCTAAATATGGAGGAAAAAACAGCTAAATGTTATTCAGAGGCTCATGCTGATTTTTATATGATGAGATTCTGATGCTTGTGCTGTAAATGATCTAAATATCGTCTCTATATCTGCAGTAATCTGTCTCAGTAAGAAGAGTCTGAAATGCTCCAAACATATAACGCAGTGATTGAGAGCTGAAGAAATAAAGGCTCCTCAGAAGACGTGAGATGTTCTGGAGGCTTGTGAAGATCATTCCTCCGCTGAGGAACAGTGAAAGTAAAGCTTCTGGAAACAAACGCTCCTCAAAAGATCCTGAGGATCAGATTTGAGACTCTAAAACATGATTGATGGAGAATCAAGTAAAGCTGAGCTGCTTCAGTGCAGTAAGTGTTCATCTGGAGATATTACTGACGTTATTCTGACCTTTACTTGATCAAAACCAGTCAAGATCCAGCTACAGTTACACTAAACGAGCTCTGACTGGATAAAACACTCTAAACTGTGTTTCAGTACCTGGGCTGTAACTGTGTTCAGACAGACTCTCCTCCTCGTCCTCCGTCACATACGCCGCTCTTTCACACACCTTCACCGGCGTCCCCTTCCTCTTCCTGCCACACACTCGCCTGTGCAGAACACACACACACACACACCGTCAGACCATCACACACACATACACTGTCAGACCATCACACACACAGATTCACTCTCACACACACACACACACACACTCTCACACACACACACACACAGATTCACTCTCTCTCACACACACACACACACATTCACTCACACACACACACACACA